GAAATGAGAAAGAAAAGGGAAGAGAGAAAAGAAGAGAAGTAGAAGGGAAAGAAAGTGAGGGAGAAGGGAAGTAGAAAAAAAAAAAGGAAGAAAAAGAAGAAGGAGACGGGAGGCAGAAAGAGAGGAAGAAAGGAAAAGAAAGAGAGGAAGAAGAGGAAATGAGGAAAGGGAAGAGAAGTGGTGATATATATAAGACATATACGGACCGAAAACGGTCTATATAATCCTCAACGACGCGCGACACCAAAAAATTTCAATTTTTTCAGAAAAATTTCAATTTTTTCGGGAAATTTTTGGCGCATTAATAATATTCAGACCGAAATCGGTCTGAACATAAATAAATTACCGCAGAATCAATAAGATTCAAATCAACGGCAAAAATTTGGCGCATCAATTAATTACGGACAGATGTCGGTCCGAATATATTCGTAAAAAATCTTCCAGCACACATTTTTGTTCTTTTCATTTAAGGACATGACCATCTTCTCGCAATCTCCATCTTCTCGCAATCTAAATCCATTGGAATATACGGACCGATACCGGTCTGTATATATGCAAAGAATCCATGCTTTTCATTTTTCAGACCGATTTTGGTCCGAATATAGTAGAAAAAATCCAGAAACTTCTCCCAGTGTACATTTTTATTCTTTTCATTTAAGGACATTACCATTTTCTCGTGTTCTAAATCCATTCCTGCGAAAACCAATTGCATGTACATCGACCCTACAATCCCTTAGAACCACAAAACCATCGATTGTCTAGCTGAAATTATCTTACGATACTACGGAGTAATATCGTTGCAAAACCACGAACGTATAAGTTAAAGGTTATTAGAGATAATGTTACGTAATGCTCTTTCAGAGTAATAACCAAATAAAATTCATTTTTTTTCTTAAGGTTAACCACTTTGGCTTGCAAACATTCGGAATGTTGCGGTTTAAAACAAGAGTAGAACGACTTAAACATGAAATAACAAAAAAAAAAAAAAAGCTGTTGTTCATTGGAATATACGGACCGGTATCGGTCCGAATATAGGCAATCCGAGGGATTTTTTTTTATCTTAAAGCTAAATTAAATTTAGTGTGAATATATACGGATCGTTATTGGTCTGAATATATGCAAAGAATCCAGATGCTTCCATGCTTTTCAGTTTTCAGACCGATTTTGGTCCGAATATAGTAGAAAAAATCCAGAAACTTCTTCCAGTGCACATTTTTATTCTTTTCATTTAAGGACATTACCATCTTCTCGTGTTCTAATATACGGACCGGTATCAGTCCGAATATAAGGCAATATATACCGGAAATGAAACCCTGGGAGGCAAGCTGCTGCGAGGTAATATACGGACCGGTGTCGGTCCGAATATAAGGCAGTATATACCGGAAATGAAACCCTAGGAGGCAAGCTGCTGTGAGGTAATATACGGACCGATATCAGTCCGTATACCTATATACGGACCAAGATCGGTCCGTATATCATGTGAGACTCATATTTTTGTGGACTTCCGAAAATCTATAACCAGATCAAGAAAACAGATTTATTTTATTTAATAATTATATAATATTACCAAATAATGCAAAAATATATTTTACCATTCAAATTAAATGCATTTATAAAAAAATAAAATATATTTAGAATAATTACTTAA